TATCAAGTAGAAAGAGATAATATAGTAGTACATGGAAGGGAAATGATATATAATCGCCACGACTCTTGTTACGCTTATATATTTAATTACGAATAATGATAAAACCAATTTATGTAAGGTCTTTTAATGTGCAATGTTAAAATTAATTTAATTAATTCATTTTATTGTGTGAAATGTAATGATGAACTCAAATGCGATTTAATGAAATATAAGTATCTATTGGTTATTATGGGAAGTCAGAATAAAATAAAAATAAAATAAAATAAAAATTTACGGTAACCAACTTGATAGACGTGCATTAATGAAAGATGATTGGGGTTCTATAATGTTCTTCTTACAAAAACCATCGGAAAAGTGTGACAAGATAAAGAAAGACAAAAAAATAGATTGAGAAAATGAGGTTGGAGAACAAAAATATTGAAAAACGCATTCTTATTGGATATTTCTTATGGAACAAAGTTAACATCCTTATTATGATTTATGTTATTACATGAGAATCATGAATCTAAGAACGTGTAGAGAACATAAGAAATTATTAATTTACATTTTTTACATGTAGTAATATTTATATTTTAAATCAATATATATATATATATATATATATATATTAAAATTTAATTCAACAAAATAAATAAATATAATAAAAAAGTATAGATTCACAAATGCATTATGTTTAGGAGAGGCATTTATTATCCAAAATAATTTTTAGTATAAGAAAATGTTAATCACATATAAGATAAAGTTATAAAAAAATTATGTACATTAAATAACTTTTAATTTTAATCATTTATATAATCAACTATAAAGTTTAAATTAAACTTATTTTTTTTATATTCCCATTAAGATTAATCTCATATGATACACATATACACTTCCCCTGCAAAATATATACCAAGTTAAGTTTTGGTATAGTTTTATAATATTGCACATTATTCATGGTAATAATAATTAATGAATATGGAATCTACAATATACATAATATTTCCAACTTTATTTATTGCATATATAAATTGACATTACCAATATTGAATTATTAATTATTACTAATATATCCATTTTAGTTTCTAACTAAAGTTAAGTAGTCTCAAAACCTAATATTCAAACATATGATTCCTTGTCTTTAAAACATTATTTTAAGACAGTTAGGAATTTAATATGTCTCATCCATTAATTTCCCAATTCTGAGTTCCCTGTTTTAGATAAGAAGGACCACCCTATTTTCAGGCACGTGTTTTTTTGTAATACAATTATTTTGTTCACGATTATGTTCTATTACTATCTGATTCTATTGCGTAAGAAAGTTAAATTATATATATATATATATATATATATATATATATATATATATATATATATATATATATATATATATATATATATATATAAATTTATAATAGATTTCAAGATTGTTTAACAAGTCATTTTACAATTTATAAATTAGTTTAGCGGACTCAAAGTTTGAATTTTGAATTAAAAAATATAAAGTAAAAAATAAAAAATTGATTTTTATAAAATTGATTATTTTTTAAGTTTTTCCATTCTATATATTGATATATTATTTTATGAAAAATTTATTTACATTTCAGGAAAAATTTGCTATATTTTAATAAAAATTTATGTATTTTAATAAATTAATTATTAAATTTAAAACTTTAATGATTATATTTTTTTTATAAATATTATTTTATCCATAAAAATTGAACATATATTTTAAAATTTTATAATAAATCGTATACATATTTTATTCCATCAGTTGAGTTAATTTCTCTTAATTTTTAAATTAACATTTTACTTCAATTATTTATGAAGTAAATATTAAAAAATAAGAAAAAAATTATACTGTAATGATCGCTAAATCCAATAAATATAAAAGCTTACAAAATTATATAAAATATTTTTATTTTTTAAAACAAATAACAAAGAATACATATTAAACATTTCTAAAAATCTCATAGCAACTAGAAATTATCAATTTCACCTGTCATACTTTACAATAAAAATTAGTATTTTTGTGAAGTTTTTTACTAATTACTTTATTAAATATATTTTAAATATTAAATAAATTGAAATAATTTATATTTTTCTTATATAATAATACCCAATAATTATTGAAGAATGATTTTTTTAAGAGAGTTAAACGGGTGCAACTCTATAGATATATGGTACTAATTTGCTTTATAAAATTTATATAGCACATAATTTTTTTATTTTTGCATAAATGAAGTAAAAAATTGTTTGGAGGAGAAAAATATTTTAAATAAAAATGAAATTGACAATTATTATTTATTTTGACTTAATTATTTGTTAGGAATATGATTTTTTTTTCGGTGTGAATTTTTTTTTCTAATCTATGATCTTGAATCTTTTAGAATTAGTTAAAATATGGTATATTTAACCATATTTATAATTTATAAATAAATATTTTCACGTATGAGATACTCGATATCGACTTCCACGTAGTCGATTTTAAACCGTTTAAACACTAAATTATTAATTAATTGTTTATATTTGTTCAAATTGATATATTAATAAAAAATTCAATAAAAACTTAAAATTAATAAATGAAACTATATAACTTTTTCAAAATTAAATTAAGTTATTCTTATTTTAAAATTAACTCTATTTTTTTTATTTTACAAAAATGTTATTATAAATATTAGGCATAAATTTAAATAGTTAATATTTACTTATTAATAATTTTATTATTAATCTGATGAAAAATGTCTAATTGTTACATTAAACTTTTTTTATCAATAATTACAATAAACATAATAAAGTAAATAAATAATGAACCTACAAATTAATTAATCCCATTATTTTTCTTCCAATTATATATATATTTATTTATTTAGGAATGGCATTGAGGATTTGCCATTCAAGCGTGTTAGCAAAATTTATAACGTTTATGCCTCACTGTTTAAATTATAAAACTAATATATATATATATATATATACTAAACAAATCACTTTTTAAAACATTTTAATTAAATTTTTTGGTACAAAATTTACGCTAATATTTTTTATTAAATATTGATTGATTTAGATTGGTTTCTGTTATTTTAATAAAGTCCATTGCTAAACAATTTTTATTTTATTAAAATATATAAAAATATATCATATTATAATTGACTTATTCTTAAAACTGCAAAACGGATAGTTGAACTGTCCTATCGGCACTCATTTTACGAATAAAAAAAATTAATAATATATATTAATATTTTAAAATTGATTATAATTTTTAGTTTAATTTGCACTCATGTTATCTTAATAATTTAATGGATAAAATTTAACCGAAATAAAAATTTAAAAATATTATTAATATAATTATATCAATATATTATTTATAAAAATATTTAAATAAAAAAGTATATTTTAAAAATTTTAATTATATTAATAAAATTAGTTAAAAATTTACTTTTTATTTTAATAATTTATTAATTAAAAATAATAATTAATATAATATTAGATATCATTGAAAAATTTATATATATATATATATATAATATTTCAATAAAATAATAAATTATTTTATTTAAAAAAAATAATTATTATATAAAATTAATTAACTCATAAATTTATAAATTAATCTTACTTAAATTCATATAAATCATAACTTAAACAATAACTTAAATTCATATAAATCATAACTTAAACAATACAAAAAAACTTGATTGAATTAGATTATAAATTTTTTAATATAATCTTATTTATTTTAAGGGTTTTTAAGATTAATTTATTTGACTAAGTCTACTGTGACACATTTATATAAATTAAATAATAAGTAAAATGTTAGAAAAAATATATGATTATATTATAAATCTTTTTTTCAAAATAATTTTTTATTTATTTAAATATTTTAATAATTTTTTTAATTGTTTTTAAATATTATTTTTATTTTTATTTTCTAAAAACTGAACAAATAAAATCTGTGTTTCTATTTCTGTTTTCATTATTAATGTCAAACATTTTATTAATAATTATTTATTTTTATTATTATAATTTTTTTTATTTTTTATAATTTTCTTCACTTTAAAATATTTTTCAAAAATATAATTATTCAGTTTTTCTTTTCTCAACTTACTTTTAAAAATAATTGTTGAAACGTTGTTTAAAAATTTTAAAAATAAAAATGAATTAAATATAAAAATTAAAAAATAAAACTAAATCAAGTATAAAAATAAAAGATTGCAGGAATATAAAAATGAATACAATTAACGTATTTTTAGAAATAGGACACTAAAATAAAAAACAAAAATGAAAAGAATAAAAAATATTAAAGTTATTTAATTATTATTACAATTATTACCAGTTTATATAAAACTTAATTAATAAATGAATGAATACATTAATAAAAGAATGAATCAATTGAAATTAAGTCACTAAACAAATAATGAAAGTTAAATATTAATATGAAATCTTAATTTAATAAATTAGAGATATTTATAAGTTTAATTGGTACGTGTGTAAGAAAATATTATTAGTTTAAATGAATAGTTAAATTAATGAATGAAGAGTTACTATAAATTTATATTGAATGACTAAATTTTTATATATTATACCATGATTTAAAATATTGAAATAACTATTTTATATAATAACTAGATTAAAAATTAATAAAATAATTTAATGATAATTATTAGTTGAAATAAAATATAAATATATTGTTATTTATTATGAAGTTTATATACTAATTAAATCAATATCTTAAATGGTTTCTAATTTATAAAATTAAATTTTCATATTATTTTTTAATTATGTGTTGAAAGAGAGAGAGGAAGGGAAGATAGAGATAGAGAGAGAAAAAAGTGGGAGACACGTGGCCCTAGTTTCCATGTAGGTGGAGAGAACTGTTATATATGCGTCTTCTTCTGCAACCCACCATTGCTAACATTAACCTTAACCTGCACCATCAAACTAGCCATTCTCTTCTTCATCTTCTTCTTCACTTGTTCATTCCAATACCTCTCACACAAACCACACTGTTGCATGATCCTCGCGCAATGGCTTCTGCCTGCGTTAACAACATCGCAATCTCGCCGGAAACCACCTTCCTCGACCTCCCTCCATGGCTCTCCCCTCGCGGATCCGACCCCGACCCCGACTTCGAGTTCCCCCTAGACCCTCCCGCCACCATGCTCCCGGCCGACCAGCTCTTTTCCGACGGCAAACTCGTACCTCTCCACCTCAAAACTCCCTCCATCACCACCACCACCACAACCACCACTTCCCAAACCCTAACCCCTACCACCGCGACAACGACAATCTCCCCTCAAACCCCCAAATCCCCATCCACCACCGCCGGCGCCACCACCACCACCACCGATGCCTACCTTTTCTCCCCCAAAGCCCCCCGTTGTTCGTCCCGCTGGAAAGACCTCCTCGGCCTCAAGAAACTCTACAACACCACCACTCCTACCAAATCCTCCCCCTCCACTTCCAAATCCTTGAAAAACCTCCTTCACCGCAAAACGACGTCGTCTACTTCCAACTCCGAAAACGCGCCTCTTCTCACACACTCCTCCGACGCCGAATCCCTCTCCATCTCCTCTCGTCTCTCTCTTTCCTCTTCCTCCTCCAGCCATGACCATGACGACCTTCCTCGCCTCTCGCTCGATTCCGAAAAACCAAACCCTAACCCTAACATAGCCCCAAGCATAAACCCTAACCTCAACCAGATCTCGCTTCACAGAAACCCTAACACTAGAATCCGATTAGTCAAACCCCGCGCCGGATCATTCGACTCTAACAAAACCGTTTCGGATCAGCCTTCCCGCCCTGGTAGGAGTCCGATCCGGAGAGAAACGGAAACCGTGGGTTGCAGGGGCGTTTCCGTTGACAGCCCTAGAATGAACTCTTCCGGAAAAATCGTGTTCCAGAGCTTGGAACGAAGCTCGAGTTCTCCCAGCACGTTCAACGGTGGGCCCCGCTTCAAGCACCGGGGCATGGAACGCTCTTATTCCGCTAACGTTAGAGTCACTCCCGTTCTCAACGTCCCCGTTTGTTCCCTCCGTGGTGCGTCCAAATCCGGCTCGGTTTTCGGGTTCGGGCAACTGTTTTCCTCGCCGCAGAAGAAAGAAACAACGGGGTGTAACAGGGGGCACCACCAAAGTGGTAGGAGTAATCGGAATTGACGTAAATACCCTTCTTTAAAGGAAGAAAAAGGGTAACATATTATTGACTAGGTTTTTTGTTTTTTTTTTTTACCCTTTTTGCCACTTGATCAATCAATCTCTCTCTGTTCTGTTTTTATCTAATCCCGGAATGGAAATATTGCAGGAAGAGGCACGTTGTGGATTGGGGGTTTGGTTGGTTCATTTAATTTGATTTTGTCAAAGTTTTAGGTTAATTAATGTAAATACGCGAGGTGGGGTTGGTTGGAATTTTAGATGCCCTTGTTGTTTTCTCAGCTTGATGATAATTGATAAAAGATCCAGTTACTGTTTCTGAAACAGTGAGCTCTATGGTTTTCTATGGTGCCATTTATCTTTTTATTTTTGTTTTTAATTTGATACTCAGAAAGTAAAAGTAGTGATTTTATTAGTATTAAAATTTTCCGAGATCTGTGGTGGTAAGATGATGAGTTTATCTCGTGTGCTTGTACGTGGGTTTTGTTTTTGGGTAATTTTTTTTTTTTCATGTTGTGAAGTGTTTTGGGAAATGATGCTAGAAATTCAAACAGAAGCGCCAGCTCTGCTGAATTATTATTTGCACGTCAGTCTGATCCCAAACCTTTTATGGCTTACAATTAACCCAAAGTGACAAATTACTGTGTATTTTTAATCTATGATGTGTTTTTTTTTTTCTGAGGTGGAATTAGTATGTGGATGGTGGTCCACACCTGAAGCTGAGTGTGTGACCTTAATGGAAGATTCAATAGGGGGGATCAGTTTTTTTTTTTTTTTTACTTTTATCTTTTCTTTAATCAAGTTGTGCGTACTTCGATTGGGGACATGGGATAAGTTTCCTAGAAGGGATTATGATGGTTGAATGAATAATTAAAAACGATTTCACTATTAAATTTGCCCCTTCTGTTCCAAGATATTGATGGAGGGGTGGAACAGAACAGCCACAAACTGGGTCATCTGTGTTTGTTGCCCCTGAGGGATGTATAGTTTTGTTGGATAAACTTGTGTGTTGAGTTGATGATGATCCATTGGAGTGAAAAGATCTCAGTGATGGACATGATGGGTCCCTCCGTAATTAGATATGGTAGGTCCATTTCCTGTTTGCTGGAAGCAATTGATATTTGGTATAAGCAATGTGCATAATTGAGGGAAAGGATATGTTGAATGGCTCTGGACCCCTCTCCCTTTTACATCCTTTATCGTGATAGAAATGGTTCTTGTTCCGTGGTACTATCACGGGTCTTGGTCACATTCAAATTATATTCTTGGGGATTAAACTTCTAATTAGATAGGTCCCTTTGTCGGTTTAGTTGCCTCGGTTCATGATCCATTTATTCTCATTTCCAAACCCCCAAACTTGATCCATACCTAGTTGAAGATTTATATATATATATATATATATATATATATATATATATATATATATATATATATATATATATATATTACACACCCATCCTTGTACTCCACTAGTACCAAGCTGCGATCGAACAAACAGCTCTTCCGCAACGGAAACGAAAAGCGTGTAAAATAATGATGGTTTTTTTTTTTTGAAGTTAGGAATATGCTAAATCACGTGGCTAACATGTTGCCATACTTTCAGCCTATTAGCAACCATAAAATCCAAAACCCATGTGAGGAAAGTAAATGAATAAAATGAATGTTGTATCGTATTGTGTCTGCATCACTCTGTCTCTGTAACGGATTTGAATGCGAGGAGACAAGTTCCTTTCCTTGTTTACTTTTATTCATTAAACTAATTTTAGTTAGTAGCGTTACGCTTCAATCAAATAATTTTCCAACCTCTCCCATCCTTTTAACAAAGTAATGCTCAGACATTTTACGTGGTATTCCTCATTTTCATGTGTGCTTTTCCTACAGTAAAATAGATCATAAAACTATATAATAATAAAATCCTTTTTTGAATGGAAAGGAGAGAGAATGAGCATTATTTCAGACAGGTAAAAGTACGTTTATCTATATTTAATTTTACATTTGAGCATTGATATCATTAAAAAATTGGGTGACTAATTCATTGTTTGATTTTGTAATAATTATCCTTAGAGTGATAATGTGATTAACTGGGGAATGATAGACGTGAGTTGGTTTGTTTGTGGTTGTTGCGGAAGTGGCGTCCCATGTTTTAGTTGTGCGCATGCTATGTGGGTTGATTTGACATTTCTTATTCACGCCATAGTATAGCTAGCACACTGCTCCAGGAATATACTTCGTCCATATCCATATAATTAATAATCAATTTTATTACATGAACGAAATGAAAAAAATTATCACCTTCAATAATAAATATTATCATTATTTACATTTAATAGGTTTATTTTTTAACGGTATTTCAATTCTATTTTTTTTTAACTTTTTCTAGTGGACACGAGTTTTACATTGTTACTACGAAAGTCAGATTCAGTTTTTGATTGATAGCTTTAGGATAGTGTATTCTTTTATATTCATGAAAAATATTTTTATTTATTGACAGGTATGGGTGCATGGCATGCTATGCTACGCACGCTTTCTACTTTGTACATTGAAGCAATTTATTGTACCCCATGGAATGGAAATGAAGTAAACCTAAAACCCTACCTAGGCAGCATTGCAGGCATGAGTTTTTGAAATATATTTTATATTTTTAGGCATTTTCGTCCATACTCGGATTTTGATGCATTTGATATGATATGAGATGGGTGAGGGTGAGCTGTGTTGACCAGTCCTTAGCGGGTAGTACCCATTATAATACCACATTTGTTCCCATAAGAGTTTGGGCTTTGTGACAACGTGAAAATGGATGCACCTACCAACACTTCTTTTTATAGTCATGCTGCCGGTGTCTGTTTACTGTGCGTCCCAATGCACCATTGCAAGGCTACTTCTGTCTTTTCACATGTGGAGGGAAGTGCAAGGGGTCACATGCCCCAAACTGATTCCCTAAATCCAAATAACCCCTATTCTTGCCATTTTTTCCTAGTTTATTCGTATTCTTAATTAATTCCATTATGAAAGCCAGGCAGGCAGCCGGGTCAGGATTGTGTGACGTGACTTATAATAGTTTGGTTGTTTTGGTTAGTGAGCTCAACTTTGTCACTACTTCCTCTTCTTCGCTTTACATGGAGATGAGGATGGATACGTGCAATCATTTCTATCTTGTGAGGTAAATCAGCTGAAAAGCAACCTCATGCTAATTAATGGAAGCCCACAAAGTCTACCATTAAATAAAGACTACCAGACCTACTAGTATTATTCAATAGGAGGGAGGGGGTGAGTGTATTTAAAGCATGATCTCCTTCGTCTGATTTTCTGTGTCTAATAAAGAAAACAATGTTTGTTGAATAATAAGAGAGCCTGCAAAAGGCTGAGGGAGAGTTTTGGGGCATCAAAGAGAGAACGTGCTTATGTACAGTTGGGTCTCTGCACAGATTCCCCCTCATCCAATCCCTTTTACCCTATCATATGCTTCACTGCCAGCCCCTTCCCCCTCCCTCTCTCTCTCTTGCATAGGGAGTGGGTCACTGGGTCAGTGCACAAAAGGGATGAGAAAAGAAAGGTGCTATTGCTAAAATACTAACGGCTAAAAAAGGGTGAGGTGTGGTCAGCATCTGAAGATGAAGCGGGCAGACACAAATAACAAATAGTTTCTGTAGTGATTTTTATTTTTATTTTTATTTTTTAAAAGAGTTAAGATTAAATTAATCACTTGATTAATAACAATAATAATCACTTCATACCAGTTATTAGTATTAGTCCATCGACTTTTTGACATGAAGGAAAATTGAAGAGATGACTGACTGACTTGGGAACATATCTCTGTCCTCACCTTCATCAACATTGCAGTGTCCCCCGTAAGATTGAAGGGCAGGTGAGAGGATGGATGTTTTAGAAATAGAATAATGCTACTACCACCTGTGCGGTCCGTACTACAGTGTGGGGGCATGTGAACTACTGGAGTTTACATCACAGTATCTTCATGAGCTGGACTGCCAAGGATAATTTGTTGTTGTTATGTTAGAGCATGTCATAAAAACTGCAATGGGTTTGGGTCCCTTTGGAATTTAGTACTGCATGCCTTGGACAACTTTTTACGGTTTTACTGTACCTCAATCAGAAAGGGTTGGGTTGGAGCTGAGATGGTATGTTATTACCTTTCTTTCTTTCCTTCTCTTCTTCCCTCAGTGGTGCAGCAAAACGACAACAGCAAACAAAGGCATGATTCTGGCCACTTGCTTCGGGAAATAAGATCTGGTAATGCTTGGCAAATTTTGCATGTGTCACCATATCGTTCGAATCTTATGCATTTATATAAAAACATTGCACGGCCTGAATATATTACAAGTCTATATCACCTTCTAGGCATCTAGATGGTGCAGTGCATGGTGGACCCAATAGTTCAATGGAATTGAGTTGCATTTTCAGACTCTGTTTCACAAGTATGCTAATTTAGCCGGGCACCTGTTAAGTAGACCCACCATGCTATGGCTTCCTGTTTTCCTCATTTCTTTTTTCATTTCCTAAATGCAGGGAATGGGATACATGTATAGAGAAGGATAAATTTGAAATAAAATGATTACTTGTAAATACTATTGAAGGTTATAGAATACTCAAATTCTTAATAATCTAAACATTTATCATTGAACACATGTGTTTTCAGTTTAAAATAAGAATTCCTTAATGAATGAAATGCATTTTTACTGTTGATATTTTGAACACAAAGTGATAATTAATCGAAGTAACCTAAATACAGCTTGTAACTGGATCCAAATACAGAAATCCTTACTCCTTAGCTGTCACCAAGTTGGTGTGTGCCTGACAAGAAGTCAATTTTAAGGGTGCATTACATAAGTGCATGAGGAAAGAATGGGAGCTGGCTAAGCTGACGACATTTCACCTAGAACCTTCAGTGGTTGTGGTTGTTTTTCTCTGCAAAATTGCATACAGAATAAGTTGGTATCAAGAATATGAATACAAAAGAAGGTTGACGTATTATTTATCCAAAGTGTGGAAAGGCCATTCATCATTTTAGTCTTGGAAATTGTTTGACAACTATTTATCCAACTACTAGGCACTGTAACTAAAAAATAATCACATCTCGTCTGCTTGTTACGAAATATCTTATTCATAATGCAAGCTCGACCTTCCCTGTCATCTACAAATGCATAGCGTTCACTTTGGCAAGTCATCAACTCAGATTGCCACATGCTCGACTTCTGATCATTTGTCTAGTAGCCAGTCCTAATCAGCTCAAAGTGTCTAGCTTCTTTTTTTTTTTTTTTTCTTCGCAGGGACAGTACCTCAACTCCTTTGGTTCTTGTCAGAATCATATCGTAGATATCACAACTAATAGGGTTGTCAAAATCTTCAGTGGCCCTAGAAACAGATTTAAGCATACAATGCATACTGACCACTTTCCTTATCAGGCCAGAGCAGCCGTGATGCTTCTGGGCTACCCGATAAGATAACTATCACAATGACTCCATGATTGATCTGGAATATGACAGCTAGAGTGATTGATCCCAGTTCTCTCATAGCAAGTGTATGTGGGTTCAACAGTTCCTCTTAAAGCCTAAAGGATAAAGCTCATTCGTAAACTATTGAAAAAGTTGTCAGGTCACAGCTATGAGCTAGGCTAAGAGGAATATTACTAACTTGAAATATATATCACAAAAATATCAGTTTTAGTTGGTTTTTATGTGGAAGGAAGTTTTTAATAATTCATTTGATAGAGGAACAAATTTGTAGACAAGTTTCCATTGTAGCTGACAAGGTTACACTTTGACGGAGGTTGTCAAGCTAATAAACCTGGACATCTTATTCTTGGACAACAAAAGCACTGAGGTACAAGCTAGTTGAGATGATAAAAGATAATAACAATTATAACTAAATTAATCACAATAATAAGGATATTTAAATAAAGCAAAACAAAATCCCTGCCATATAACAGCACATATTTGAAATCATTTGACAAGAGTCACTTGCCCCCTGTTAAAAACAAGGGAGAAAATTATAAAGGTTCGATCAGCTCAACTGCTTCAATTTTAGATTTGATCAGCTCAACAGGGGCTAGTAAATTCATCTTGAACATTTCAGATATAGATTGTTCACAGAAATGGTCAGAGAGTATATCAGTGTTAATTTTATGCAAACATTCCATAAAATAAAACTGTGACCAATGGGAGCGCGTATATGAGAAGAAACCCACAAAAGCAAAAGAATCCAATACTCATAGTTACTTATTATTAGAAAACAACTACAAAATAAAGCCTCAGTAGACAAGTCTATACCATGAGAAGTGCCAATGGAGAGCATGCGATCTATATTATCAATCCGCCCTTGTATGGATTTTAGAAGTGAATTCAGGGACGAAACTCTTTTCCTAACACTAGAAATCTTGGCAGCATGCTGCATTATGAATGGAGAAGGTGCATCTTCAAGTAACTGATCAAGTTCTGCCAAAAGAAAAGATGAATTTCAGGTCAGCAAACTGGAAACAAGAGTAATAAGAAATTAAGAGTGATGGAATGAAGTCTGTTCTAGATTTTTAAAATAAAATAAGTAAACCAAGACACTAATTCAAATTAATATTCACTTTCTGAGTAAAACATTCCGACACCCGGAGGCTATGAAATGAACTCTTTACAGAACTTTTCCCATATGGACCATCTAGCCTATTGGCATAACTGTTTACGAGGGTTAAACCATAGGCATCATACCAGAATTGTCAGTTGTAAACAGTAATTTAAGAAAGAAAAAGCCGGAAACAATTTGCCCATCAGGATAATACAACTTTCTGGCATAACTTGCGTATTTCAGTATATACATCATACCAAATTAATAACAGAATCATAATGCAAACATTAATTGAGAGTGTCCAATAATTTTATCTAGCAGCACCATAAAATAATCCTTCTTCCAACAGCAACTAAAGCAAACCAATGCCTAAAATTAGCATTATTAAGTAAGCAAAGATACAAAAAAACCCAAGACTAAAACTACTTTGCAACGTTAGATACTTGTGCAATGAACAAAAGCTCTAAGCATATCCACAGAAATCAAAATCCCGTGCACCTCCGGTACAATGCATCTTCATGAATTGCACATTCTTCCTTTCCAGTATGCATAAAATAACAAATAATATTTCGTCTCTTCACGCCTTTTCCAAGTTTCCCAAATATAAAGCTTAGAAAGATTGTGGCCATATGACCCGGTAATAAAAGTGCCTACTTTTCTCACTCAAGCAAGACTGAGATTTGAGTTGTTCACAACTCTGGTTGGGACAATCCTAGGAACCACTTGCAAAATAGTGGGCTTCACTGTTCTGTCTCTTGACCGTATAACAAACTAGTTGTCAGTAGCGCACGATAGTGGCAACATGGAACAGCCTTTGGTCACTACAGGATTACATTATGAAATTGGTCATATATTATCAATGCTATTGTCCAATCCACATGGAATTACATACTATCATTCAAAATTTCAAAGTACCATTAGATAATGCTACAAATCAATATAACCATATTAATGGTGTGGTTTGTTTTAGTTCTGTTTTAACAATAGGAGGGGAAAACCAATCAAGCCACAATAAATTTTTTTCTTATCTTTTTTTTGGTTTTGGTTGATTAATTTTTAACTTTTTTCGGCTCGGTTTGGGAGTTCAAAACCTGCTTGTTTCCACAATTTACATCCTTAATTTCAAGTCAAGCTACTTATTTTTCAGCAAAGCCAGAGCTTACCCACTTTCCTGTTTTGCATTACTCTCTTCCTTCAATTTCTTGCACTTCCTTTATTGCTTTTCAGTTCTCACAAAAGTCTTAAGGTCCTTGCCCTTCCCTGCTTTTGTTCTGTCACTCACCCCTTTCTTTATTTTTCTTTTCTGTGTCCTCCTATGTTCTCCTCCTGTCTATTGATCACCCTCTCTCTCCCATCTTTGTGTTTTGTGCTCGATTATTGTCTGTTTTTACTTTAACTTCATTTTCACCCTTGAAGCAGTCATAGTATCATCTTCTTAGAAGTTCACACTTGATTTCATGAATTTTGTTCTTATTGACTTATGTATGTGTTTAGCATAAGAATGTGACTTTTGATTATTAACTATACATATTTTTCACTTTGTAATATTTTATTTTTGAGAGTTTATATATGTGTGGTATAAATTATTTAGCCTGTATCAATACTCGAATTCTGCTATCCACTCTGATTGCTATGTGCTGCTATTTGATATTGACAACAATGAGCAAAACCTCACTTGACTCAGTTGTATATGCGCAAAAGTGTATATCCTGTATTAGTTCCATCCATAGAATGTGATTCTTTGGCACAATAGTAAGTTGAACATAATAGTGGTGCAGTAATTACATTTTAGTGCCAAAGTTACCACTGCACAATTTTATAGAGTAAGTAGAACACATAATAAATTTCTCCGCATGAACAATTTTAATTGATCAGCTCACTTGACATGGACCTCAATTTACAAAATAAACAGAGTTCGTGTTTGGATTAGATTAGGGTACTCTAAGGTACACCCAAACAAGAAAGAACTTCACCAAACATGCTGTAGGCCTATGTCCTCACCAATAAAGAGCCTTGTGTAATATTTTTGTTTGGGTGAACTTTGGTATCCTCCTCCGAGGGGCTTAGGACTAAACCCTTGAAGTACTGAGATCCATTCTAGGGGTCGACCACTTTGAATAACAAATATTTTTCAAATGTGCTTACTAGGTATCGTACCTTTGACTACGACAAGTCTTTTTACAAACAATGTAAAACCCTGTTGGTACACAATATCCTCACATTCAACCAACTATAACCAACCATCTAACGAACTTCAATTTTCCAAATAGATATCTATAACAGTAATAAAAAAAAAGGAAAATAAAAAAAATAAAAATCAACCTACTTGCAATGCACTCTCTGCATGTAAATTGAATCTTTCACAAAATAAATAACACAATCGAAAACTTGGCACAATGTTGTTAAACAAATGGAGAAACGGAGAGAGAAACCTCCGGTGAGACGATCGAGGACGGAAAATAGGTTGTCCTGGCTCCAGAGTGTTTGGTGTGCTCTGCAATCGAAATCGCTAATCACCGCAGAAAGCATCGAAGACAAGCCTCTCGCCAACACTTCGGAGCTCTGCCGGAGGGGATCGTCGCCGTCGGAACCGTGGGAAGTGGAAGGCCCTGTTTCAACGTCGGCGCTGTCGTTTTTCTCGGCTTCCATTGTCGTTTGATTCAGTTCGGTGCGCGGAGTGGAAGTGATGGTGTGACAGAGAGGGAGGGATGAGAAGAATCGCTAATAAAAATTTTTTTTTCATGTGTTCGTGCATTGTTTAAAGAGGAAAAAAAAACACATTTAACCCTAAAATAAGTATTTGAATATTTTCTTTATATTTTTTAAAAGATTACATATATATTTAAATGAGACGGTGATTATGAAATTGAAAAAGTTGAAAACTTACCTAAAAAATTTGATAACTTATAAATAATTATGAAATTATTATTATTATTCGATAATTTAAGAGGTGCCCTCAACTATTCTTCTCTCGGTTTTTGAAAATTAAACTAACAAATAATTTAGTTTTTAATAAAAAATAATTTAAGTTTGTATGGTTTAATTCAATTCAATTAATAATTTTTTATTTTTTAAAACTTTAACTATTAAATAATCTTTAACACTCATCTAAAATAATATTTTGTTATATTATTATTTTGATTTTTTTTTACCGTTTTTAGTGTCATGATAAAAAAACTTATGTATAATGAATAAAAAAATATAAATATAAAGAGTGAAAAAAAAGCTCATACACCTATGGGTTAAAACGTATTCATTTTTACTGATTATATATAAAATAATTTTTTTAAATCATTTTTGACGTCATAGTTTATAATACAATATTATTTTATTAAATATAAAAAGGAAAAATAATATAAAAAAAATAATTAATATAATATAATATAATATATGTAGGTAGTGAAAAAAGAAAATTTATATAAAAAACAGCGAAAAAAAAAATTATACATAAGGAACAAATGGTAGAAACATCATCCCACAACTTTGGAATCTTTTCAATATATTCTAAATTAAATAGTACAAAAATATCACATGACTTATACCATTAAAAGTATCTCTACGTATCAACTATATAGACAAAAAAATATTATCTTTAATATACAATATTAAACTATTAAATTATATTCTTTCTAATTCCTTCAACTTTCTTAAAACATTTCGAATAGAAATGATATAAATAAAATATTAAATTTTTTAAATAATTTTTTATTATAAAATTATATATAGTATAATAATACAAAAATATTATTAATAAATTTATTATATTATAAAAATATTATTTTATTAAATATAATGATATAATTAAATCTTTAATTCGTAGCTTCGTCCATTTATCGTGAACCCACACAACAATATTGTCCATGTTTATAATCAAGTTGTTGTTAAGGATGTCTACAATTATGTAAATAATTATAATCAAGTTGTTGTTAAAGATGTTTACAATTATGTAAACAAGTTGTTGTTAAGGATGTTTACAAATATGTTTTATCGACTAAAATTATTTTTGTTGATGACAATTATATAATAATAATTATTATTATTATCAAATGTTTATCTAATAATAATTTTAATACTATAAAAATAATAAATTTTAAATTTATGTTTTATAATAAAAAATAATTTTTTATATTTATTATTATTGTTATTATATTATAAAAAATCCATCTATAGCATTTTACTCGATATTAATATTGTATTATTAAAATTAATATTCACATTTTAATAATAAAATTTATTTATATTTATTAATTTCATATGTGTATTATATTATTAACTAATTTTAATATAATAATAATAATAATTGAATTTTATATTTATTATTATTATTATAACGTTATCATTGCTTATTAATCTTTACACCTCTTCTATTAACTTTTCACCTCTTTTATTAATATTTTTCTAATGCACCTTGTTTTTTAAGCTCTTCTATCATTACGGTTAATTATTTTTCACCTCTTTTATTGGAATTTTGGTTCCATTTTTACAATGTATCCAATCATCCTGAAATGGGAACTAATTGAGTTGTATATATTTCGCTTTTATAAAAAAAATATCACTTTAAAAAAAATATTTATCCAACACTTAAAAAAATATTTATCCAAACACAAAAAGATCAATTTTTTTATTAAATTTTAGTTGTATATTCAATTATGAATAAAATTGATCTTTTAAAATTTGTATTTAAATTTAACTAATATTTAAATTTAAAGTATATTTTTTTAAAAAGAAATAAAATTCAATTTTTATATTACCAAAAAAATAGGATAAAATTGCTTCAATTTATAATAAATTTAAATCAAAACATAAAATCAAATATGCAAAAAATGAAAACACTTCTGAACAAAATTTATATTTTATTTGAATAAACTCAGGAAGCCATGCCCGAAAATGGTTGTTATCATGCCATGCATGTCACAAGAAACTAAAGGGCACAAGAAAAGAACGCAAAACCAGAACATGTCATATTTTATAAGGTTGTCTATATCATTCATTCATTGCCTTCAAGATTTATGAGCCATTGTTGGAGGAGGCCCCTTTTGGGGCAACCTAGGAGCCCCAGTGGTGAAATCTGCAGAACCTTCTTCATCTTCTTCATGTTTCTGCATCTGAGATTGATTATTATCAGTGTTTGAATCCTTTGTTGCGTGGTGACCACTCTTTGCAACATTGTGTGCACTTGCAAACAAGTGAAGTGGTTGAGAGTCAGAGATCTTTCCCCCTTCAAGGGGTGTGCCATTCACGTATGCCACCCTCACTGCTTCGTCTTCTGAAAGTCTTGCCTGTGCAGTTCCATACTTTATGTCATCTTTGCTCTTCGCCATGATTGCTTGCAGTTGCAGTAAATTAACTCAACCCCTCGTTATCTTTGGTGGCTGAGAGAGTGAATATTCGAATGATGAAGATGATGGGTGAAATGGGGTGGATTTATTGCCCTAAGGATGCTGTGATACGTGGCCTGCTATTTCCATGGATATGTGACAAGTGTGTGTAAACGATGTGGTGGACAAGGCAGAGAACTTGAACGTGTCAAAAGTCCCAAATCGTCTAGAACTATAAAACCAAACATGCTCGGCTAGCTTTTCTAACTTAAAAAAAATAAATTGGATGAGATAAAATTATTCTGACTTTTTTTATTCATTCTTAATGTATCATTAATTTTTATTTTGATTAGGCTTGACTTTTTTCTTCTGCTTATTTATTTAATAATATATTTACATTAAGTTTTTTAAGGTATTTATTTTTACCAACCTATATTATTAATCTATATTATTTTATATTTATTTTTAAAGTAATAAAATAATAATAAAAAATAATCTATATCATTAATCCATATTTTACTTATATATGACACAATTTTTAGTTAAAATCTATATTATTAATCAATATTTTATGATACATATTTTAATTAAATAAGCGTATGGGTAATAATATTTTAGATTTTGAAAATTGGATCGTCTAGGGATGACAATTAAATCCTTACCCGTGAGACCGACCCGTCCCGCCTCGAGTTTTACTGGGAAAACCCAAGTTGACCGGGAGCGGAGGTGGGTTCGGGTTTTCCCGCTTCAAAAAGTTGGGGCGGGGCGGGGATGGGTAATGCAATCCCCATCCCGACCCCGTCTCGTCCCCGCCCCGACTATATATTTAAATTTAAAATTTAAAATATTAATACTTTAAATGTATTTTCTTTTCTTTTTCTATTACATATAAGGTTATTTTTTTAATATTTCACCAATTTTTATTTTTCTTATACCCACTTTTAATTTTTTTATCTTTTTTAATCTTTTATATCAATTAATTTATTACATTATTCTCTCTCTTACCTTTCTGTTTTTTACATTTCCTTAATTTCTCCCATCAATTTATTTATTTTTATAATCTTTTCAATCAATTTGATGAACACAAAGTAAAAAAAATTTTCTTTATCTTTTTTCTAAATATTTTACATAAATCCTAGTAGTAATTAATATTATTTTATTTATAATTTATATTTATTAGGTTTTATTATGTCATATTTTTGTAGCTTATTATTCTTATTTATCATATATCAAATTTTATCTTAATAAAATAATTATATTTTAAAGAATTAAAAGAAATAGATAATTTAAACTTTTATCACTTTGAACTAATTAAATAAGAATTAACTTATTAAATATTTTTTTATAAACTAGATATTTCATATTTTTAAATGACAACTTAAAAATGAATTAATTTATATATATAATTAAATGTTTGAATACAGTATTATAATAATAATAATAATGTTATAAGTATTCAAATATTTGAATATAATAATAATAATAATGTTATAAATATTCTCTCTATATATAAATAAAAAATAATTAAATATTTTTTTACATACATATTTTAATATAAATATAATAAATTTAAAAATATATTTAATTAATAATAATTATAAAATTATAAATATTTATTTTTATATAAAAAATACACAATAAAATTAATTTATTATAAATGTAATTATCTTTTTAAAAATAATATAGATCGGAGACGGGTCGGGAGCGGGAACCCGAAACCCAGCGGGGACGGGGATAGGGACTTAATTTTTAACCTCGGCGGGGTCGGGGATGGTTAAAAAGTCGGGGACGGGGATCGGGAGACAAAATCCGCCCCGCCCCATTGCCATGCCTAGATCGGTCCTTTCACTCACTCTTCTTCTTGAAAATAATATCTTTCTTAAAAAAAAACAGTTTTTAACTAAATTAAAAAAATAGTATAAAATTTAGAAAAACAAAAAAAAAGTTTACATTTTTAGATCAAATTAGTTTTAATAAAAAAAAAGTTTACAAAAATTTATTTAATTCCTTTTAAAAAACAAACTTTTAAATAATAATTATTTTCATTGTCTTATTTTTTTAATATATTTATAATTTTTATTATAATTCAATATAATAATGATAATAATTTTATTATTATAAATACAAATTTTAATTAATGTCTCCGAAACCTTTTAAATTGTAAAATCTATCTTTTTTTTTCACCTAGTTCAATAAGTTTTTTGAAATAAAATATTATATAACATATCTAAATTCAGTAAATTAAGTTATATAATTTTATTTATTCAATAATTAAAATATAGATATTAAATTATATTGTAATCTAAATATATTAAGTTTTATTGTTGATATATATTTAGTTTTTAGTAGCTATAATTTATTTTCTATTTAACATTTTTATAATACAAGGTATATTTTGACCGTTCTTAACTTTAATGAAAAATTTTAATTTTTTTATTATATGACTACAAATATTCATGTTAATAATTCATCTTTCTCTATGTTATACTCTTGTATCATAATAAATTTAAAAGAAATATTTCTTATTACTATTTTGAGTAATTGTCTTAAATATATTTAATATTACGTCATATTAAGAAATTAAAATCTCAAATAATTAGAAACGATGACAATTAATTCATAAAAATTATAATTTATATAAATTTAATTAAGTCATAAAAATTATATTTATACAAATTTGTACAATATTTTGGAGATGTTGTAACCTTGGATTTAACAGACAACTATAACATACAACTTGGTCTTTTTTTTTAGGAATGCATCACAATGGTCAATAGTATTACTAGGTTGTGCTTTCATCTAAGCTTGCCGTTGATTTAAGGTGTAATACTCAATTTTTATCATGTGCATTTTTAATATGCATAAAACCAATATGAAACAATCAGCGACTGCTTCATGAGATGTACAATTGTTTCCTAAAAACAGTTGAACATTGCATATTAATTCCTGAAACCTTGCTCCCTTTTTATATTTCATAAATACCATGGCTTAAATTGAACTGAAACATAAATATCTTTTTCCCCATGATGACAGTTCGTGTTCCAATTTAAAGAGTGAAAAGATTCCTGAAATGGAATCTACAGAATATTTCTCTTTCAATTCGTCTTGTAATTGGTACTCCTGATCAAAGAAATATTTTGTTTTTTCAATGTCTTCCCTTTATGTCTGGTGCTATTTATACAGTGATCTGTTTTGGATAAGCTAGATGTTGAATATGTATAACTGAATGTTTAATGCTAGCCAATTGTCAAACGTTAAGGACACAATCTTATTACCTATTTCCCTTATATATATATATATATATATATATATATATATATATATATATATATATATATATATCACTGTCTTATTTTAGAGTAGTAGCACAGACAATCATGCAGTCAATCTGTAATTGGAGACGTGTCTATGTATCACAAATTTATGAAAGATTTTCTATCGGGTTTATAAATCTCTCCAAATTGAATTATTTAATTTGTACCAGTTAAGTGTGGTATGCTTGTCTCTTGCTGCGTATTTTTTGCAACCAAGAGGTGATATGCCATGACATATGTCTTGCATGATATGCCATTACATAAATATTAGGTGGTGCAAGAAAGGTATCACGAACTGTAGTTGATGCTAGCAGTTGGGTACTATACAATTTGATTAGTGAGGATCAGAGAAATATGAGTAAGATGCTTAGATGAAAAGAAGTTGATTGAAACAGGTTTTTGGTTTGGTGGCACACTGAAAACATCATATACTCTGCATGAAGATCATGAAGCCAGTGAGGACAAAAACGGTCAGATTCTGCCCGTCAATCCGTTTAAAAATGGCGATGGCGGGAGAGGAAGTGATTTTAGTTTAATACTCTATTTTATCTCGTTTCCATGACTCGTTAATCTAGTAGGATCGGACTGATTTCTTAACCCACTTTAAAATATTATAATATTATAATTTAAATTATAAAAATTAATTAATTAATTAATTAAATTTAAATTATTAATTATAATTAGTTATTTTATATATAAATATAATAATTTTTTAATTTATTTAATAAAAATATTATAATAAATAAAAACTTGAAAATTATTTATATAATTAAAAATATATTTAAAATATATATATATATATATATATATATATATCTATATATATATATATATATATATATATATATATATATAAATTCACGAGTTGATGAAATGAAATAAAATATATAATCATTCTGATTATAACATATTAGTCCGTCCTAATAATTTTTTACGGACTAAAATGGGATTCTTGGACCACTTTGCTTCAATGAGACTAGCTCAGGTAGTTTGTAGGATAGGAAAATAGGTGTCTTCCTGATCTGTTCAGAAATCTGGTTATACCTGTATGATGCATCTTCTTTGTAGAAAAATATTGGTACCTTTATCACGTGCAAATTGTTGAGGATCAATCATCGGCTCACTTTATAGTATTTTGTTATGATCAGCAGATCCCAATATTTTACCTAACCCATCATATGAATATATTAAATTCCTTCTGTATGGTCCATGCATTAAGTGTACCCAGTTGTCATATTTTCTTTTTCATTTATGAACACGGAAGAGGTATTTCAAAATAAATAATTTCATAAATTTTATCACCATGCTTTCCCTTACACTGATCTTATATACAAATGAATTTTTTGTTTGCCATATATAAGTAAAATGAAAGTCATTATAGAAAAAAAAAGATAAATCAACTTAAATTCAGTCTGCTCTATTCTATTCAGACAACTGAAGCAATCAGCATATTTTTGTCACAAATTCCGGAGAATAATCAGAAAAAAGGTCCTCTGATATCATTTTAACTGCATGAACGCACAGTGCAAGCAGCCCACTCGAAACATTTTCTTGAGAGGAATTTGGTTCTATTGCTAAGAATCTCTGACACGGGTATATTGGCTGACCAAACAGCAGTTGGACCTAAAAGATTTTAAAGATGATGTCCAACAATGTTCTTGTGAATGTCTACCATCTCGCTCTAAACACTGGAATTGTTATTTACAATTGTGCTTAAAGAACAAAACACCCAATTTACTGATGATAGTTTGGAAAGACAGATCCAGATAGGATTATTGTCACCACTGAATCTCAACGGCCTGATTCAAATAATCACCACATGTCTTGACAAGAACAATTTCCATTTCTGAAGTGATGAAACCTCAAGGAGTCTCTAACGATGATTGTCACACCAACAACCTTAGAAATGTACTTAATGGCATTGTGACAGTCACCACAAATTCTCAAATTCTTAAAAACCCGTATAGATGACTGTCCATTCAAATTAAGAATCCCAAAGGCAACAGCAAGCTTCTCACTGTGGCTGCAAAGACTCTCAGTTTTTTCCTCTTGGTCAACATCTTGCAGAACATAATCAGTGTCAGGTTTATATCCAGCCAATTTCATTTTCTCACCCAAATCATCCAAAAAGTTATAGATTTTATCACTCTCCATATTATTCTTGTCTCCAACAACAAAAGTGTGAACTCTATTTCCCACTTGTAGCCAACTACAGCCTGGAGTTTTTGTAATTCCTCTCTCGTTCATCAATATTCTGGCTGCTGAAGCTTCACTCCACAATTTGGCAGTGACAAGGATATTGAATAATGAAACATAATTTCCCGGGTTGTTGGGTTCAATCTCAAATAGCTTATTGGCTGAAATTCTTGCCAACTCCACATTCTTATAAACTCTACAGGCGCCAAGAAGAGCTCCCCAAGCGCTGGCAGTTGGCTCCATAGGCATTCTCTGTATAAAGTCATATGCCTTGTCAAGCCGACCAGCTCGGCTGAAGACATCAACCATGCATGCATAGTGAGTAGCATCAGGTTCTACTTGATGATCCCTACCCATTGAACTAAATATCTGTAGTCCTTCCTCTACCAGCCTTGAGTGGCTACAACCAGACAGAACACCGGTAAAAGTGACAGAATTGGGCTTCTTCCCTGACTGAAGCATGCTCTCAAACAGAAAAAGCACTTCTTTTCCATTCCCATGCAATGCATTAGCAATTATCATCGTGTTCCAAGCAATAACATCTTTTCTGTGTATCATATCAAATACATTCCTAGAAAGATTCAAGTCACCACATTTAGCATACATGTATACTAATGCCGTCATTGTTGTTAAGTCCCAAATTAGCCAATGCCTAAAGACATAGCAATGTACCTCCTTGCCCATCCTCAAGCTTTCTAGAATAGAGCAAGCTGGTAAGAAACTACTAATTGTAATTTGATTAGGTTTAAATCCCATGTTTTGCATCTTCCTAAGCATCTCCATTGCCTCCTCTGTTTGCCCATTTTCCATGCAGCCCCCAATAACAGCATTCCATGTAGCTTCATCTGCTTTGACTCCTTTGCTCCTCATTTCGGAAAACAGCGCAAGACCCTTCTCATATTCTTTGTTTGTGAAGTAGGCCGTTAAAACTCCATTCCAAGACACCACATCTCGATGAGGCATCAAATCAAATACTATTGTAGCCTGTTTAATACTTAAACATCTAGCATACATGCTCACTAGAGCACTGCAGACAAACACATTTTCCATCATTTCATGTCTCATTGCAAATCCATGAATAGCCCTTCCAGATTTCAAATCTTTCAATTCCGAGCACGCAGGCAAAATGCTAGACACAGTCACCGAATTTGGCTTCACCCCATTCCATCCCATTTCGTGAAAAACAGCTAGGCCTTGTCTAGGCAATCCACAATTGACATAGCATGAAGACATGGAGGTCCAGGAAACCACGTCTTTCACAACCAAATCATCAAAAACCCGTCTTGCACCTTCGGTGCATTTACACTTCCCATAGGCATGAATCAATGCATTGCCCAAGAAAACATCAGACATCATCCCACATCGAATGGCGTCATCATGAACCTCCTTGACTCTCAAGGCATCACCAGAGGCACCAGAGGCCTTGGCAACAGCAAGAAACACCGAGTTTTGGGGTTTGATCCCACGTGCCCGAATCGAAGCATGGAGCCTTATGGCCTCATATGGAAGTCCATGAGTGGTGAGAGCTGAAATTAAAGTAGAACAAGTGATGGGGTCTGGTTGAAGAATATTATCAAACAGTTGTTGGGCACGCCTGAAATCACCGACACTCAAAGCTGCCTTAACGAGTCTGAGACCCAAATGAGATGGGAGGTTAGTGGGTACAGAGGGAGCCACCTTTGTTGAAGGTGGCTACTTCCAGAAGCAAGAATATTAAGTGTTCTATGTGAGTGAGTACTGAACAAATGTAGCAAAACAAAGCCAAATACTTCAACTACACCCTTAACAAAGTTCCACCACGCTCTTCATTTCATTCATTCGGATCCACTTCTGTATTCGGATTCATCCCTCGGGCCGGGTAAAATTAATTGGTTTGTAACAATAATAAATTATTAAGCTCTTTTCTTTTTCTTTTGAAAAGGTAATAGCTTTTTGTTCAAAGAAGTTTTGGAAAAAAATAAAGCGGATTTTTTTAAATAAATCTAATATAAATACATGAAGTAAGATTAATGTAATTAAAGGGTGTCCCTAAAAACTGCATATACTATATAATTATAAAGTTAAATCCAAAAAGAAAGAAGGTAATAACTTTTCGAACGTTAAATAACAATTTCAAAATTATAAAAAAATGAAATTGGATGGATTTGTACCTTTGTGAATTAAAAAATAAACTAAGAATTAAAATTAAAAAATCACTGACATATTTTTAAGGTTTTGCAAGTCACAATTGGTGACTCACACATGTGTTAATTTCTGTTGAAAAAAAAACTCATTATATAAGTTTACAAGTCTATTTAACTTGCTTTAAATTAATAAAATTTGCCTTTTAAGTATAAACATCTAAATAAAAAATTAAATTTTAATTAAAAATTAACTTAACATAATCTTGAAGAAGCTTTAAAAGTTGAGATTCACTAACTATAGCCTTTAAGAAAATTATATCTAATAAATGTTAAAAAATTAATTGTCAAATAGATAAAGTGATAATTTTACATTTAATATAACAATTATTTATATTTTAATGAATTTTTTACTTTTTAATATTAAAAAAATTGTTTTTTATTTTTATTTTAATATGCTTTTTAAGAAAAAATCTTTATGTATAATAGGAACATAATTTATTAGGTATTGATTTGCATGAAATTTTATAAACATAAAGTTGAACATATGTTATGTAAATAAAAGTATAATGTAGAAAAATATAAATTTTGTATATCTATAAATAGTATAAAATTGATCTATTTAATAAGAAATTTTAATTTGATAATTAGGTTGACTAATTTTATATATATTTTTAAAATAATATTAAAAGACATAAGTATACAAATTGTTTAAGGGAGAAATAATTATTAGAGGGCATAAAATTATCAAAGTGTATACATAAGAAAAATGACTAATGATTACTTTTTCTTATTTATGATTTAGTCTATTAATAATAATTTTTTATACTCCTGAGAAAAATGTTTCGATTTTGTTTTTACAGTCAAAATCAAAATATTTTATTTAATCAAGATATTTATTTCTTCCCCTTTGAAGATGTGTTTTTTTTTTTAAAAAGTCGAAATTGTATTCTCTCATAAAAGTTAAAAAAAAAAGTATATTTTGAAAATTCTACTCTTTTTTTTATATAATATCATAATATTCTTTCGTAAAAGTTAAATAAAGTGGAAGTAAACCTTACAAGATTACCTAGTTTCAAGTCAAAAACTAGTTCACCTACAATAACTAGTTTTGCACACCACACGACCCAACAACACTACATGAAAAGCTGATAACTTGTTCTGATATGGCCCATATCAGAACAATGATTCTGAGCTGGTTATGGTTCTCACCAAAGAAACTTGAAAAACTGCTAAAGAGAGCAAGGGTTTCAAGGGAATCCATACAAGGTTTTGGTTGGAGACAAGAGGGAGTTTCTGAAGATGAGCAAGGAAGCCTTATCCAAACCCATGAATCTCTCTGATGACATAATACCACTTGTGTCTTCCTATGTCCATCACAGTGTCAACAACACACATGGCCATGGTGGTATGTTTGTTGTTATTCTACTCTTCTCTTTAAACACTTTTTTATTTTGATAATTCATGTTCATGCATCCTTTTTCTTTATTTGGAATGTGTGTATGTCTTAAAAAGTTCTTGCATTAAGATTAGGAATGCAAATGACCCCACAACACTCAACTGCTCTTGTTCCTTAAGTTGCTTGCTGCAGATCTGCACAAATCTTCAACTGTCTAATTATGCTAAAATCCATCTACCAATGACCAAATTACAGAGGCAGTGAAAAACATAGCAAATAGTTGGAAAGTAAAAAAATGAATCAAAAGAAGAGAAGTAGTTAGAGATCCAAGCCATCATAAATTTGAAGAAGATCTCTTGTTTCCATTATATCTTTCTTGCACAGGTATATATATATCTACATATACTCACAACTCAATCAAATTTTCTCTCATTTATATTTATTCTTCCCTTTATATATATATATATATATATATATATATATATATATTATATTCTCTCTCTTTAGTTTTTCTCGTAATTAACCCAACAATTAATTTAAAAAATTATACTTCAAAATAATTTAAAATATATTCATGAATTTATTTATAATAATAATATAATATAATTTATATAAAAATCAAATATATATTTTAAACAATAACAAATATTTTAAAAAATTGAATATATTTTAAATTGATATAAATATTATAAAAATTATAATTTTTTTAATTAATTAGATAATATTTTTATTAGGATAAATATTGTGAAATTTAATATTTTTAATAAATAATTATTTTTCAAATTTAAATTTGATTTTATT